CTAAAATAGATCAAGAACCTGGAAGTAAATTGGCCAGTAGAAGTTAATATCAAATAAAATCCATAACTAGGCGTGTTTACTTAGATGATTAACATTAGTGAGGGAATAACTCAATTTATTATTGTATGAGAAGGTCAAGTCCCAATCTCACTGGCAGTGGGAATAAGAAGGGCAAACATTCATCTATTTAGCAAGCATTTATTGTATTCCTACTATATATAAAATTTGCAGTTCTGTTTATCCTTCCCACGATGAGAAGGAAGAAATAGGGATTTTGTATTCAGATTCACCAAGTCTCTACTCTAGTTTCTGCTACCTCTAATCAGTTTATTTTTAATCATTGCCAAATTGACAGTTACAGAAAATAATGTCCCTGTGCTGAAACATAGATATTGGATAGTTTGCTAGGTTCACTTACTGTCTTTATACTCCCATATATCACCTCCCCTAGTCCTCTACAGTAATACCTTTCCCTCTAGCTTCCTTTTATGAAGGGTTAAAATTTACATTTTATCTTTATCTCTTATCCTTTGAAGGAGAAGATTTATGCCTCTTATTTGAGGGGACTCAACATTTTCTCAAGCCTTAAGAGGGTTGTTCTCACTTTTGGTTTAGCACAGTCTCCTTTGATGTAATTTAATAACTATGCTAGTATTGGTGAGATAGGGAAAGTGGGAGAGCATTATAGGGTAAGGCCTCTCTTTCCTCTGGTACCTTTTTATTTAATACAAAGAAAATGTGTATCTTCTGTAACTTTGTTACATTGATAGAAAATAGGATAGAACCTCCCTTGTCTTTGAGATAAAGTTTTAAAGATAAATGCCTTATATTACATTCAGTAACTAAAACATGAATAACAGTCTAATTTAGAACGTTGTCACAAAGATTCTTTCACCTAGTAGAAGGGAAAAGAATTTCTTTCTTTAGTTCTTTCTTCTCTCCATGGACCTGGACCCTTACTTTCAAGCTAAAACTACAAGTTAGTTTAGCTGTAGTGTGTGATAACTGGGCCTTTTATACTTGAATCTTCATTTTTAGTAATTTTCTGTGGGAAGATGTATCCAGGAATCCAGAAGCATTTTGGCAGGTTTGTATGTTCTAAAAAGCAAGGTATTTGTTTTCACTTTGCAACTGGTAAGACTGGAATATACAGTTGACCCTGAACAACACAGGTTTAAACTACATGGGTCCACTTATGTGCTGATTTTGCCAAGAAATACATCTTGGAAAAATTCAAGAGCTAATAGACAGCACACCAGAGGAATTAACAGAAGACATCTTGATGGAGAGGGTGCTTCTGAACCACTGGTAGACTATGGGGAAGATGTAGGAGAACAGTGCCAGAAAACAAATTGACATTAGACAGGCTGGCAGAAGGTTTCTGATTATTCAAGACTGCTTTTGACTTCTTTTTCGACCCTTTTGTAGGGGGACTGAAACTAAAGCAAACAGTAGAAGAAGGATTGGTACCTTGTAGAAACGTTTTTAGAGAAAGGAAAAGCAAAAAGTCAGACAAATTATATTTCTGTAAAGTTACACTGAGTGTGCCTGCCTCTCCTGTCTCCCCCTTCTGCCTTCTTCACCTCTGCCACCTCTGCCACCTTGAGACAGCATGACCAATCCCTCTACCTTAGCCTACTCAATGTGAAGATGACAAGGATGAAGATCTTTATGATGAACCACTTCTACTTTATGAATAGTAAATAATCATCATGCTGTACAGTTACTAAACTTATCTGTCATATATGTGGGTGAATGTCTTTGTATGGCTGTGTGGTAAGAACTGTGTTAATTGACTTTATGTTATTGGTAAAGCTATTAGTTGTTACGTTTTGGGGGAGTTAAAAGTTATACATGGATTTTTGACTGCACAGAGGTTTGGTAGTCCTATCCTAATGCCTATGTTGTTCAAGTGTCAACTGTATATTCACATTGCCATCATTTGCATTGATTACTTTTTTAAAAATAATTTATTGTAGCAAACTGTATACCACATAAAATTTGCCATTTTAACCATTTTTAAGAGTATACATTTCATTGACAATAATTACATTCACAGTGCTGTGTAACTATCACTACTATTTTCAAAACTTTCTCGGTGCCCCAAACTGAAACTCTGTATCCATGGAGCAGTAACTTTGTATTTCCCCGATGGCAACCTCAAATCTACTTCTATCTCTATGAATTTGTCTATTCTTGATATTTCATATACATTGAATAATGTAATATCTGTCCATTTATGTCTGGTGTATTTCACTTAACATAATGTTTTTAAGTATTACCCATGTGGTAGCATGCATTAGTGCTTCATTCTGTATTATAGAGGCATAACATTTCATTGTTTATATATACCACATTTTGTCCTTCTGCTCATTTGTTGATGGACACCTGGGACATAGTTTCCACCTTTTGTAACTGAATGATACTGGTGTGAGCATTGTTGTACAACTATCTGTTTGAGTCTCTGCTTATAGTTCTTTTTTGTATATACCTAGGAATAGAATTGCTAAGTCATATGGTAAGTCTACGTTTAATTCTGAGGAATTCTATGTTTAACTCTGAGGTGTGGGAGGCCAATAGCTAAACTGTTTTCCACAGCAGTCACACCATTTTCTGTTCTTACCACCAATAGATAAGGATTCCAGTTTCTCTCTGTCTTTGCCAATACTTGTTATTTTCCATTTTTCTGATAAATATAGTTAGTCATCCTAGTGAATGTGAAGTTGGATAATTAATAGCCTTTGATGCACAGAACCTAAAACCAAACCTATTGCTGTTGTGAGTTGATTATGAATCATAGTGATCCCATAGGACAGAGAGTAACTGCCCTATAAGGTTTCTAAGAATATAATCTTTATAGAAGCAGACTGCTACATTTCTGTCCTGCGGAGTGCCTGCTGTATTCGCACCACAGATCTTTTGGTTAGCAGCCAAGAACTTAACCACTATGCCGCCAGAGCTCCTTTTGATGCACAGAAGTTTTTAATTTTGATGGAGTCCAATAGGTCTATTTTTTCTTTTGTTGTTTGTGCTTTGGATGTTATAATCCATTGCCATATCCAGCATCCTGAAGATTTACTCTTTTCTTCTAAGAGTTTTATGGTTTTAGCTCTTATATTTAAGTCATTAATCCATTTTGAGTTAATTTTTATATATAGTTTGAGGTGCAGTGGTCCAGTTTCATTCTTTTGCATGTGTAATTTATGTTTGCTAACAAGGAGCTCTGGTGGCCTAGTGTAAGACATTTGGCTGCTAACCAAAAGGTCAGCAGTCCAAACCCACCAGCTGCTCTGTGGAGGAAAGATGAGGCAGTTTACTTTTGTAAATATTTACAGCCTCAGAAATCCAAGGGGGGTCACTTTGAGTTGGAATCGACTCATTGGTAGTGAGCTTGGTTTGGAGTAACCTGTGCAGGCAGTGCCTGGATTATGAAAGAGTTCAATTCCTAAATCTGTCTTTAAGTAGAAATTGTAAGTAAGCTGGAATGGTTCAAATCTAATGTTAGTTAATTAAATGTTTATCTTAGTATACAATATGTAGTGTACCTTTCTATGCATAAGAAACATTTCCATATATACAAAAACATCTTTAACATAATAATACAATAATAATAATGTTTTGATGGGTGTCACAAAGTAGCAGTTGTTTGTTATTACAAATCATTGTATGTACCTTGAATTTTTAATATAATACGCTTTATGGGGGTTGGTTCATAATACTTTGTTGTTGTTGTTGTTGTTGTTTGCCATCAAGTCGGACCTGACTCATGGTGACCCCTCCTTGGGTTTCTGAGGCAGTATCACTATGGAAGTAGATTGTCCCATCTTCCTTCAATACTGGATGTATGTAAATCAGATATTCATAAGCTGCGGACAGCCTGTACTTCCTTTATGTACTCTGTGAGAGGATTTATTCCTGTTAGTAATTTTACTTTATTTATTTTTCAATTGTTGAGAATATGCACAGCAAAACACACACCAGTTCAGCAGTTCCTTCATGTACAATTCAGTGACATTGACTACATTCTTCAAGGTTTGCGGCCCTTCTCCCCTTCTTTTTCTGAGTTGTTCCTCCTCCATTAATATAAACTCACTGCCCCCTAGAAATTCTGTCTAATCTTTTGAGTTGTTGTCAATTTGATCCCATTTAGATAGTTCTTATAAGAGCATAATGTCCAAGGTGGACATTTTTAACTAATTAAGCTAAACTTACTTGGTTTTAAGAAGACTTCAGGGAGGAAGAAAAGACTTCAGGAGGTATTTCTGGTTTAAGGTTTAAAGATTATTTCAGGGCAATAGTGTTAGGGGTGTATCCAGCCTCCATGGCTTCAGAAAGTCTGGAGACTGCAAGAATTTAAAATTCTGTTCTGCATTTCTCCCCTTTTGATAAATAGTATTGTATAGACTCCTTGACCAAAATGTTTAGTAATGGTTGCAGGTGCCATATAGCTGTTCTGGACTCATGGCAGGTGGTAGTTGCTCACAGAGGGAGTTAGCTACACATTCCATATCTTGTATTCCTGCTCTTTCTTCCTCTATTATTCCAGGCAAATGGAGACTAATTCTTGTGCCCTGTTAGTAATTTTAAACAAAGAATGCAATTTTAAGAAAAATATTAAAATACTTTATTGAGAAATCTGCTGGAGTATAGATGACAAAATTCTATTGAATAAGAACACATGTACATTCAAAAGAAAACATTCTGGGACAGCTTTTGAAATAACCTTGGTATCTTTTTAATGTCCTGGTAACCTTATGTGTGCTTCATCTCATTGTTTAAGGTTGAGTGTACTTAATCTACTTCCTGCCAGAGTTTCTCTGTGATGTTTATACTTGTTATAAATTTGTTGGTCAGTTTTTTTTTTTTAGATGGAATAATAATAACTCTTGAATCTGGATTTGTTGTAACTTTGTTTTGTTTTAGAATTTTGTTTTCCTCTGGCAGTTATTTTAGTAGTAAAATGTGTGCTATTACTAATTAAGGTTTTTCTTTAATAACAGATTTATACCTAAAACTGGAAGATGTAACCCATAAATTTAATAAGCCCTGTATAATGGATGTAAAGATTGGGCGAAAAAGCTATGATCCTTTTGCCTCATCAGAGAAGATTCAGCAACAGGTCAGCAAGTACCCATTAATGGAAGAGATTGGGTTCTTGGTGCTTGGCATGAGGGTAAGAGTGTTTATATATACACTTTTTTTTACTTGTTCTTCCCTTGAAAGTTATAGATACCAAAATCTCCTTATGTCAGAAGATGGTATATTATGGAATTGATTTAACTATAACTCCCCAGTGTGTAAACCCTATGAGGGGAGTAATTTTTGTCTCTTTTGTCCTTTACATGTGGTCAGTATCTGGAATGGTCTGGCACATAGCAGCTGCTTAGTGAATAGATGATAGAATAGCTGTGCCTAAAGACTCTGACTTTTTTTTTTTTTTAAGTAACTGTAAGTGCCAAAAAATGTTAACAGTAAACATGATATTATTTATAGTTTCTTATGAGAAAAGGACTAAGTTTATATGTCCGTCATTTTTCTACATTTTTAAAATAGGGAAAATGGAAATTAGGTCATTATTTCAAACTTAGTTGCATAACAGACAACTCTAAAGCTTAGTGATTTAAAATAACAGTGGTTTCATGTGCTTATGGATCTGTGGGTTGGCAATTTGGGCTAGACTCAGCTGGGCACTTCTGCTGGGTTTTACCTAGGGTCTCTCATGTGGCTTTAGTCATCTGGTGGCTTGACTGGGGGTAAATGTGCTAAAATGATCTCAGTCTCCTGTGTGGGGATTGGGGTTGATGGTTGACTGGGCCTCTTTGTATGTGGTCTCTCTTATACTGTAGAAAGCTAGCTCTGGTCTCTTCAGGTTGCAGTGCTATATTCCAAGAACTGAAAGTGGAATCTGCAAGGTTTCTTGGAAGTCTGGTAGGAAGTCATTTGCTGTCATTTTCATTGAATTCTGTAGGTCAAAGTATATCACAGGGGCAGCCCAGATTGAAATGAAGGAGAAATAGATACCACTTCTCCTGGACAGGCTAGCAAAGTCACAACACAAGTGGGAATATGCAGAAGGATGAGAAAAATTGTTGAGGCCATCTTTGTAAGCAGTATGCCACAGTCAAGAAGTAATAATGTCATAAAAACCTCTAAACAAGTGGTGTGTCTTTAATATGTATGGGGGTAAAATTTGTGAAATAAGAAATGATTGCTTACCTGTATAAGCATAATAGTTTTCAAATTTATCATATAAGAAAACATATGGTCTTCCTTTTGAGAATGCTAATTCAGGAAACGTAAATGAATTGTTAATATGATGGTAATAAAAGCACAATTGAATTTGGTATTCTAATTGTAAACAAATGCAAGGAAATAGTTCATGTAGTTATTTCATTTTAGAAAATGATAACTAAATGTGAGTATATACTAAAAATAGAAAGAGTAATGGAATAATTTAAAAAACAAATTAGAAAATAAGACATCCCATAGGAATCTGAGTGGGCAACCATATAAACCTCCATTGTTTTTAATCTCTCACCTTCCCACTACCCCTCGCATCTCAGCAGACAACTTTACCTTCTACTGCAGAAGAAATGAAAGCTGTCAGACAGAATGCCTTAATTTCCTGCTAAGAGTTTTTATTTCTTTTTGTCACGTTGAAGAATTTTCCATCTCTTCTCTAAATACGGAACATTCAGATGTCCTCTAGATCTGATTTCCTCTACTTCTTCAGGCACTTTACACTATTGAGTTTCTTTTTTTCTTGTATTTTTAACTTGTATTTCTCTTTTCTAGATCTTTTTCTTCTATGTATATAGAGGGGAGATAGCTCCAAGGGCAGAAATGCATAGGAAAGAAGGACACGGGGAAAAGGTAACCACAGGGAGAAAATGGGAAGAAAGCTGTTACATTGTGGGGATTATAATCAATGCCATGAAACAAAATATGTATGAACTATTGAATGGAAAACTAATTAATTTTAATTAAAACTAGTTAAATTATAAATATGTTTAAATCACTCTCAATCTTTTTAAAGAAAACAAAACCTCGAAACTCCACCTTGTAGCCTGCTGTGTTCTCCAGGTGCAGGTATGATTTGCCTCCCTTTCACAACCAAATTACTTATGTCCATTTCCTCACTTTCACTCAATATTCAACCCATTCCATCATGCCAACAGATTGGTTCCTTGCGCAGGGTCCTAATGATGTCTCCATGTCAGTAAATCCAAATAGCACTTTTTACTTTCTTACTTACTAGCAGCCTTCAATGCTGACCATGTCCTCTTTGAAATGTTCTTTTTTTCTGTCCATGATACCACACTTTCCTGTTTTTTTCCTAGGGCCACTTTGTAGTCTTTTCCAGATCCATTTTAATGTCTCTCTCTCTTTTCATTCTATTTCTTCCTAGTCAATGGCCTCTCTTTTCATGGGTTCACCAGTAACTCACAAATATATTTTGTGAGCCTCTTCTTTTTCTTTGATCTCCTCATCTGTCTAATAGCCTATTAGACATTTTACTTGGGGGGGAGTCTTAAAGGCATCTCAAACCCAGTATATCAAAAATTGACACAGACCATTTCCCTTGCAAACCAACAACCACAACAAGAACAACAAATGTCTAATATTCTCCATTTCAATAAATGGCATTATAAAACCTTCACTTTTATAAAGTAGAAACTTAATAATCACTGCTACCCTTCAGAGCAAGACATCAAATTCTATGCATCATAATTCCCAAACATCTCGAGTCCCTTCTGTTTTTTTTTTTTGTTTGTTTTGTTTTTTAATTAATTTTTAAAATTGTGGTTTGGGTGAAAACTTACAGAGCTAATTCGTTTTCCATTCAATAGTTCGTACACATTTTGTTTCATGGCATTGATTATAATCCCCACAGTGTAACAGCTTTCTTCCCAGTTCCTCCCTGTGGTTACCCTTTCCCTGTGTCCTCCTTTCCCATGCGTTTCTGCCCTCGGAGCTATCTCCCTGTGCAAATGCTGCCCTTCTGCTCTCCCATGGTTGATTGTTCTAAGGAGCATACCTACCTGGTGTAATAACTGTCCACCTTGTAGGCCTGTCTGTTGTTTGGCTGGAAGTTAAGCCACAGGAGTGGGTTCAGTTCCAGGCCTGAAGGGTAACTAGAGAGTGTAGTCTCAGTGGTTTCACCAGTCTCTGTCAGACTAGTAAACCTGGTCTTTTTTTGTTGTTTTTTTAATGATTTTGAGTTTTGTTCCACATTTTTCTTCCGCTTTATCCAGGATCTCCAATTCTGATCCGTTTTCAAGTGCTTGGCAGTGGTGAACAGACATCATTTAACTGGTCTCAAGGTCATCATGTATGCTGAGGTTCCTTTGGCCCACTTTCATGAGAACTTCCTATTGTGATCCCTTTTAGAGTGATTGGCAATGGTATCCAGGCACCATCTGAGTCCCTTTACTTCTGTCAATCCCTTTAGCTATTTTACTTCTGTCAATCTCTTTGGTTGTTTCTCTAGTCTAGATTCATTATCCTTCTCTAGACTGTAGTCTTTTAACTAATCTCTCAAATTATTTTCCCTGCCCTCCTGCTCCCCAACCACTGTAAAGTGTATATTAAAATCACGACATTCCCCTATTTAAAAACTCCAGTGAGTTTCCATTGCCCTCAGCATACATATATAGGATAAATGAATAAGGCATTGCTGGGTTTCCCGCTGTTGGGCTTTCTTGCTTCCCCAGACAACTAGAGGGAGTTGATTTGATTTTTAAGTAACAGTCTTTTTGAGATACAATTCACATACCACTCAGCTCTCTCATTTAAAGTGTACCATTCATTGCTTCTAGTACACTCGTAGAGTTGTACAATCAATACCATACTGATTTTTAGAACATTGTCCTCACTCCTGAAAGAAACCTTGTCCCATTAGTAGCCATTTTCCAGATTCTTTGTCTCTCTGGTCCTAGGCTACTAGGACCACTAATCTACCACTAATCTACTTTCTGTCCCTATGTATTTGCCTATTCTAGACATTTCATATAAATGAAATAATGTATCATATAAAGGAGTTCTGGTGGCATAGTGCCTAAAGCATTTGACTGCTAACCAGGACGTTGGTGGTTCAAACCTACCAGCCACTCCATGAAAGGAAGACTGGCAATCTACTTCTGTAAAGATCTACCACCTTGGAAACCCAAAGGGGGTTGCTATGAGTCAGAATTGAGTCAATGACAGTGAGTTTGGTTTTTTTATATATCATATACATATACACATGCACACTATATCTATGGAATCATATATGGTCTTTGTGATTGGTTTCTTTTAGCATATTTTCAAGGTTCATGCATGTTATAGAATGTATCAGTACTCTACTACTTTTTGTTGCTAAATAATCCATTTGATGGATATATCATATTTTGATGACCGAGACATCTGTTGATGAACATCTGAGTTGTTTCTACCATTCGGCTGCCATCAATAATGCTGCTATGAACATTCCTATGTAAATTTTTGTGTAGACATAAGTATGCATTTCTCTTGGGTATATATCTAGGTGTGGAATTGCTAGGTCATATGATGACTCAACAGTTAATCTTTTGAGAAACTTCCAGATTGTTCTTTCCCACAGCCATTATACCATTTTACATTCCCACCAGAAATGCATGAGGGTTCCAGTCTCTCCACATTCTTGTCCACACTTTTTATTTTACATCTATTATTAAAGGGAGCTCTGGTGGCCTAGTGCCTAAGGCATTTGACTGCTAACCAGAAGGCTGGCGGTTCAAACCCACCATCCACTCCTCAGAAAAGAAGATTGGGCAATCTATTTCTGCTGCCTCGGAAACTCAAGGAGGGGTCACTATGAGTCGAATTGACTCGATGGCAGTGAGTTTGGTTTTGGTCTTTTATTAATGCCATCCTAAGCGAATGTGAAGTGATATCTTACTGTAGTTTTGATTTGTATTTCTCTAATAGCTAATGAAAGGAGCTCTGCTGGTATAGTGGGGGTAAGGCATTTGGCTGCTAACCAGAGGGTTGAGGGTTTAAACCTACCAGTTGCTCCATGGAAGGAAGATGGGGCAATGTGCTTCCATAAAGATAAAGATTTACTACCTCGGAACACCAGTGGGGGTTGCTTTGAGTTGGAATCAACTCAGTGGCAGTGACTTTTTTTTTTTTTTTGTTAATGGCTAATGATAT